CAGCCAGCAAGTCGACATTCAGCTACTTGTGAGTTTTCTTATTGTTTCATTATTAATAGCTCAAGTGCTGAACTTTTGCTTTGAGTTGTATGCAAGTGTGTGCATTTCTAGCATTTAAATACGTGCATACATACAAAAATATTATATGCAACCGCCTTATCAAGTTAACTTTGTTGTCGTCGTGCTGCTGATGCTTTTTGCCAGCTCTACGCTTTCATAACTTTTCTAATAATTTTACGCTTCACGCAACCAAGTTTGCCATCGTAGTTTGAGTATTTGTACAAAATTGTTCGGTTTGGCAGATACCTATGAAACCTTGTTGCAGCTGTGGATGAAAAGTTTACATTGTTGTACTTAAGTGTGCCTACTTTGGTGAAGCGGTCCTTATGTGGCACACTTTAGTTGAAGTTTTAGTTGATTTTTATTTATTTTCTTTTTGCTTTCGTATTTGTTTTGAAATGTGAAATTATGTATTTAAGGCGTTAATAAGCGTAGCTGGGAAAAGCTGAAAATTCGTAAATCTTATAAATTTTATGATGAAAATTAATTAATGCTGATTCAGGCTCAAAATATTTGCCTTATTTTGGAGCGCATTTAATCCTTGTATACTCGAGCGCACTCGAGTGCACAAGGGTACGTTTATTAAGTTTGTTTACATAATGGTTATTTCTAACACCTTAAAGGGATCGAGATAGATGTTAACAGATATATATACCAAAATGCTCAGAATGAAATGAGAAATTGATTAATCCATGTCTGTCTGTCCGTTCGTCCGTCCGTGCACACGATAACTCCAGTAAAACATGCTCTTTATCCAAGGTAGGTTGGAAGCCTTCGACAAGTCCTAAAGTACTAAGACGGTTCTCTTAATGAGGTCAAGATAGGTCAAGACTCCCCTTTGTTGGCTGGTGAGTAGTGGGAATACTCTCCGTGATTTCCGCAAATCTGTATAACAAAGTGGTCATCGACAAGTTTAAGACAGTCTACCCCCGCCGAAGCCAATTTTTTCAACATCAATAAGCATATTGTTCGACACTAATGGCCTTGTAGGCTTTTTGCCTTTCCGATGACCACCTGAGCGCACTGTTTTTCGTCAGCTTGTGCAGCCCCTTGATCGCTCGAAATTTGACCTTATTCTGCTAAATTGCTGGCCAAAATAGCTGGGTTCGAAATGCCGCGATTCTCGAATGAGATTTCCACTCTGTCATTGCGTTTCCTCGGGTTGTACGGGTATGGGATCTTAATCACACAAGAGGTTGCAGATATTGAGGTGATCCTTCCACAATTTTACGCTTGTATTCGTTTACAAGTTGCCGATCCTGCAAATTGAGATTCCTAATGCAGGGAGCCCCGAACCTGGCAAAGGGGGTCACGCCCATTTGTCATTGCATCTGATTCAGCCGGAAAGTTGGTGCGGACTTCCGTAAGCGTCCGAACGGCATGAAGCACGCTGCTGCAACAGCGTCCACTTTTCAGAACTGATGTTCGCCAACATGACCATCTCCTCTCTACGTCCTCTACGTAACTTTCTCAAAGCCGCCTCGATTGGCTTTGTTCAAGTCGGCGTATTCATCGATCAGTATAATTATGGCATAATTTACAACGTTATGCTTTTTATCAGTCCTTCGATGGCTATAGTTTGTAGTTGCAGAGAGGTAAATAAAAGGTACGTTTTGTTGCACAGATGACCTCCATGGAGCCGTGGGGATTTTAGGGTGCTGGCGGACAGCGGAAAATTTCGCGAGTTGTGGATAACCGCGGAGACTGAGTTTGCCGTTTGGCTTCAGCAACAAGGGGCCACATACCTAAAGGCCAGAATAGATCTTGAGTGAGTGGACTCTTCTCTGGGCCTACGAAGCAAAACTACTTCTGCTTTTGGTCCACGTTGGACTCGAATCAGAACAGTGCGGAGTACCCCTGCCGCAGGCTGTTGCTAGATCGCCGAAACAACAGCTCTTGGTTGGGTAAAACCCGACTCATTCCGATACGTAGAAGCGGCTGTCGTGAGAATGTTTATTTTTATTTTATTTTTTTTATTTTACATACAGTATCTCCTAATACTTAAGATCCGACTGTAAATGCCCACGATATGCCGAAAAAAAATGCTGTCAACCAAAAAATTCGAATTTGCGCAGTGGTGTGAGGCGAACCCTTTCTTCTGGTATGGCCTAATGTACACGTGTGTGTAAGTGACTCCAGGTCTGCCAAAACTGTACTGACAACAGCTGTTATATTTTTACTCCACCCAAGTAGGATATGACTTGCAGTATACAATTTTTGAGCACATCGCCAGCGTAGACTACGACGGTAGCTGAACGTTCCCACGACAGTCGGGTCTACGTAACCGGAACGACCCAGATTTATATCTGGCTTAGGACTGTCACTCCAGCAACACTCCCCAAAAAGTCTTTGGGGAATTTGTATGCTGCTACAACAACAACAACAACGGTAGCTGAAGAACCACTCTCTCTCTCTCTCTCTCTCTCCCACAAATGGAAATTCTCTATCGGTTTTATATTTTTTTATAGTTTAGAGGTACTTACCCCGCAAAGAATTCGGCTGCTATTGAATTTGCGCGCTTTTTAGCGTGGTCACGTTGCGCTTCATGAAATAAATGATACAAGTTGGAACCAGCAACATGAATCTTTTTTTGGCAAATAATATTCGTTTTTGGTTTTTGTAACTTTATAAATTCGCTTTGGACTCGCAACTCAAAAAATCACACTTCTGACTGTAATGGCAGTAATGAAGAGATAGTAATGACGAGGTATTCATACTAAAATGAGAGGAAGAAAAACAGAGTATGAAATATTAAGAAAAACATTTAATTGGAAACACCAATCAATATCGAATAGAATATTTTTGATTTATAAGCTTCTTAGCTCAAAATTTAATAAAAGTGCTTTTATTCTTGCTATACAATTCAATTCATCGCAAACAAAAAACCCAAATCTCTACTCTTGCGTGCAATATTAAATTCTGATAACGACACAACGCACGCATCCACCTGTCTGTTATTTATATATTTGTATTAGTACATCGCGGTGTTCAACTCAAACAGTTGCCCGCTTTTGGGCAAAGATTTATGATTTTATGCTTGATTTACATTTCGCTTAAGCAATTTCACAGCGATTCACTTAACCAGCAGCTTGTAATGCAAATGATGTGTGCCTAATGTATGTATGTAGTCTTTTACCTTTCAGTTTTCAGATTTTTCGGCTATTAACTCTGATTTTCTGTCAAGAAAAGGTCAATAGTAAATGTTCGTGAAAAGTTTTGATTCCTGCGTTGCTATTAGAAATGATTTTGGCATTGGAAGTTGGAAGAAAAACGTGCGTAAAGCTGATTTCAAGGCGAATTTATATAAGGTGGTGTTACTAGATCAGCTGATTTTGTGTATGTGTTTCGCCTCACGGCTTCTTATGTCAAATTGAAAAATTTTGTTTGAATTTCCACACACACTCTTACAGATTTTGACAGTTTATGCCGCCAAAGCAAAAACAAAATACATGTAAGTTTTTGTTATTGTACTCCTGCTATCAGCTTATATAAATTCGCCTTGGATGATTTGTACATTTCTCAATGCCACGTTGATGGATAGTGAATGAGTGAGGTAAAGATAATGGTTTTATTTCTTTTATTTATTTTACTATTATATTAAACTTTCTTAAAAAGCACAAATGTAAATACATTTTTATAAGCCGGACAATTTAGCTTGACTATCGTTTAAACTGATGGAGATTAGGTGAAAGCCCGTTGAGGCGACCGTCAAAAGCCGAGAGTAGTGCGTGTAATATGGGTTCAGTGGTTGATTCAGACGCAAGCTGAAGCTTAATGCTTACTTATTTTACTATCAAAAGCCACAGGTTAGTTATAAAACGCTATCTGTAGATCAACCTGGCGTATGAGTAACCATCCTAAATACACATACATGCAACTGGTTTTTAACTCCACTTGCACTTTTTTAGAGAGGCTCAATTATATGGTAAGTTAGGGGAGTATGAAAGTTTGCCAAAGTACAGGCACAAGTTGTCTGAAAAAAATTAAAATATCTTAACATATCACAAATAGTTGCTGTCAAAGACGTGATTGAATCCCCTTATACATTATGCCTTTAGGCCATAAAAAACTATTACTTAGATATCTCTTCAAAATCGTCCTCCTCTAATCTAAATCTCACTTTATTGATTTTTCCTTACCCAGATCTGCTTTTGTAAGGGTTTTAAACTCAATTACTCAATAACTTTTGTTAATTTGTCGTTAGTTTGTAAGGTACTTTGTACTGTAGATTAAATAAATAAAATGGTTTTCTGCGGCAGCTTACAACTCACTGTCGTCCACAAATTTCCGGCCCCGAACTGCTTTTTTCAATTAAAAAAAAAAAACACAAAAAGTCACTGAGAGCCAGATTCAAACTGTAGTACATCGCTTCTGTACGACCGCCTCACGTGTCTGACTCGCCGTTTATTGGCGTCCCTTTCGGTAAGTAACCAATTTATGAAATTCCCACGCAGCCCCAAAAAATAGTAGCCATGAACTTCGGCTCTGACTTTTCCACTTTGCATTTCTTTGTAGTTCTGCCTTCCCTTTTTATCAATTACATATGTATATCTGCTATTGCTTGCACTTCGAAACAAACCGACCAGTGCAGTCACAATGCGGCTGCAAATTTCAATCAAACAACGCCGACACAACTCCAAGAAATTTTCACATCTCTCCAATCGTTGCTGATTGCTCGTTTTCTTGTGCAAAAGTTCATGCAAAATCGATTATTTGCTAATCTGTAGTTCTTCTGCTATTTTCACAGATCACTATTCTTTGCTGAAATAGCCAAAACGTATTTTTACGATTGTATATGAAGAATGGATGACATTTCTTCCAAAAATTGTTTCTTAGTATTTACATTTTAACGAGGAATTTAATAACAACTTGCATGAATTTCCAGTTTCCGTTTATGTCGCGACCTTATCAGAAAAATCCGCTATTAAAAACACCTAATAAAAATGAGAGTCAATTTATTTACAGATTTACGCTATATTTTAATTTTATTCTCTTAGCTACAATTTTGAAAGATTTGAGGCGTAGTTCAAAACATCACTTTTCACGCTCTGTTGGAAATCAAAATGCGACCATTTGGTTGAAAACGAGGTCTGTGGAGAGAAATGGAGATAATACAAAATGTTTTGAGACAAGTTTGCAGGCATTTTCGCCAAAACAAGAAATGATGACAAGATTAAAATTTCTTCAGCATTTTCTTTTCCATACTCATGTTGCAGACAAACTTCAAAAAGTGTACCAACTCAAAATTTGAAATCGGGCAAAAAACACTGTCTCAAAGGATATATAACACAATATTGCTACAGCTTATGCTGCAAGTTAAATATATAAGCTTTGAACATTTTTTAAATATATGTCATATCAAAAAGTAGAATTTTTGAGTTAGTTCACTTGTTACTTACAACAACAAGCTTTAACTAGTCTAAATTTCAAAATCAAAACCTTACCTCAAACCCCTAATTTAGCCTGCTCGCGGTTGAATCATCCGCTTGCTGATTAATGGCAAAACTAAATCAAATAACGGACGCATAAAAGCAAAATAAATTATTTCGGCCACAGATATGAAACTGAAACCCATAAATAGGCTCATAATGCCGCCAGTGTTAGCTTTGAAAATAAGAATATATTTAATCGAGCATATTTTATGCCGCATATTGCGAAGTTTGTTATAGCATTTCTATGATTTTGGTATGATAAAATCTAATACATATACATATATATGTACATGCAAACATAAAACATCTACTAGTACTCACATAGAAATTCGGTAAATCCAACGTAGACATTTTTCAAATCACCATGGAATACAGACTCGCGATAATAAAAGTGCACCACTGCCACATTTTTATTAACATACTCCATCGACATGTTGCGTAGTATACTCGGTGGCGTTAAATAATTATATGCACGCAGCGGAGTCGCAGTAACATCTGCATTGTAGTCAAGATCGAAGCAAGCGGGCAAACAAAATTTACGACAAGACGCCACCACATCATCGCCTCTCAGCCACTTATCTTCGGCCATATAAATGCAGAAAGCTTGCTGCACGCCGCATATGGTAGCATTTTCGAAAATCAACGGTAAATTAAATGGTATGCATTTACATTGCTCATAGAGGAACTTTACTTGACATTCACTCTCGCAATTGCGACGTGAGTAATGTGCAAAATATAGTAAATGCACTTCATCTTTGAGGATACATTGACGCTCATTGCTTTGCAGCGTACGCAAGTTTGCTGTTGCTTCGTTACTAACGACATCAATGCGTAAACGAGACTCGAAGCCGATTGGTAATATAAGTGCTGTCTCTTTCATTTTTGTTGCTTCGATGGGGCTATGCATGACGATCTTAGGTGGTGAGAGAGTTAGTAAAGAATAGTTGAAGTAAATTGCTCTATTACTTTTACACTAACCTTAAATCCCGGTCCATTTGTGGTTGAACAATAGTAGTCTTCAAGCTCGGCATTTAATATCAAAGACAGACCCATTGACACACCCGTTCCGGCGGCTGCAGATGGATAGTAATTTGGCGGCAAATGCTCGGGATAACCACTTTCAGGATTCCAATCGATTGCTTCAATATTGTCATTGCGTTTATACTTATTTATTAATTTTTTAGTGCTACAGTTGTAATAAAATAGCAGACACAAAGTTTTATAATATTTCTACTCGCATGTACTACATACTTTTATGTACATATGTACATTAGGATACATCACCAAAACAAGTTGCAGTTTTTCCACCGGAATTATAAATAATAATAAATATTGCAGAACCTGTCTATATTTTTTTTTTAAGAGCTCCGTCAAAATATTTCGGAAAGTGATTAGTGATTTAGTTGACGTTCACCTATTTAAAAATACCTTTAAATATCTCATTATTTTGATCCCGTTGATAAAATGTTCAAGCAATTTTATGCAGACTTTTTAAGCTTATACTCTTTCTATTATCTGGGGTGATTTTTTAGAAAAAATAGTTTTCTTATATATAAAAAAAAACACTCGATTTTTTAGGTATTTTCAAATAGCTCCAGCTCACGTTAATCATAAAATGTAATAAACTTTATATTTCCGATGGGAAGACAGTACCGATTTTATTTATTTTTTTTTTGTATGGAGTCATGTTCTCTAATGTACATATGTACAACTTGTTTAGTGTTCGAAAATAACTTACTTGCCGGTAAATAAAAAATCCGGATGTAGAACGTTGAAGACGCAACAAAGACCCTCATCGGCTATAATTTCATGAAATAAATCTGAACAGTTTTTTACAGCTGAACCAATTGAGCAAGAGAGTAACATTCTTGAGCATGGTTGAGCGTGCTGGAGATGAAGAAAGAGGTTTTTGGAAACAATTAACAGATAGATAAATAATATTTATGAGACTGTAAACGTGAAAGAAAGTGTTGGGGAAAAGTTTAATGGGAGATATATTTTGAGTGTAGTACCTTCTTTAAAAAAGTTGTAAATGACAAATTATTATTTTTGAAATATGGATCCTCCACGAACTTTTCATCTAAAATAGTATCCGGATTACAAAGTAGTTTTAGTAGGACGGCCTCGTTAGATTCACTGAAAGATAAATTATTATTTTTTTTTTTTTGTTTATCAGATTTAGAGACATTAACCGGGCAATTCTGGCTAAGATAGTAACAAACCTTTCGTAAGACAAATGAGAGACAGTTGGCAAGATAGTTCTAAAGACTTTTGTTATTCTAGCACAAAAGTCGTAGCGAAAAAGCTCTCTTATTCACCACCCGTTGTGAAAAGCTATTTTGAGAGAAAGCATTTGTACTATATATCATTTAGTTCGTGTCGCTCCAACAGTCCCGAAGGCCGAGTGAGGAAAGCACATGCGAGCCATTCGAGAGATCCGAGATCGAGGCCTCGGGCAACGGAATTTTTGTTACTTTTTTTTATTTCAACTTTTTTTATTTTGTTAATTTTTATTTAATTTTAGATATTATTGTTTTAAGAAAAGCTTAATTTCATTTAATTTTTAGAACCTTAATTTATGAATTTGTATTCTTAATTTAACTTAATTATTTTAATCGATTTTTCTTTTAATATTTTATATTTTTAATTATTTTTTTATTTCTTTATTTAATTTTCTATTGATTAATTAATTAATTTTAATTAAAAATTTAATTAATTCAATTCTTAGAAACTCTTTTTTTATTTATTCTTACTTTTAATTGAATTTGTTTTCTTTTGTTATATTCATTTTCTTTTAATTTTTATATTTTACTGTTTTCAAGAGAAATTGTTTTAAAGAAATTTAATGTTTATCTTATTTTTCTATTTTTGTCTTTTTTAATATAATTTTCTTTTAAGCTTTAGATTTTGTTTTAAAATTAGAAATATTTTTTTAATCAGTTTGATTTTTAATTACATTTCATTTTCCTTTTCTGATTTAATTTTTTTCAATTTATGACGTTTTCGTTTCTAAAAAAAATGTTGCCGTCTCATCGCCCTCTTCTTAGTGTTTGTGCGTAGAGGGCTAAGGGAAGGTTGCACTTTTCGGTAGACACGAAATCGGCATTAATTTTCTTTAGAGAATTTTCTTTTCTTAGAGTTTATTGTTTTAAAACGAAAAATATATTATTTTTTAACCTAATTTTTAAATTTTTAAAACATATTTTTATTTATTTTTGCTTTATTTTCATGTTACTTATTTTTTTATATACAATTTTCTTTTATTTATAAGTTTTTATTGTTTGAAAAAGATTTTTTAGCATATCTTTCAATTAGTGTTTCGGCAGTAAATAGCTTTCAAGATAGTTGCCAGAATTGACTATTGTCTTACGAAATACTTTTGTATTTCAAAAGACTGTGTGGTGAGTTGAAAGACAGTTACCAGAATTGCCCTGTTAGTAGCTCATAGAGTTTGAACTGAAACTAATATGGTCATAAATATCATCAAAACAAGGAAATATTAAGCTATGTACATATGCATAGAGTTATCATTCCGAAATCTTTTACTTACGATGTATAATTCGCTACACGACTTGCCAACACTTGATTCATATTACAAACGGTAATAGCAGGAAATGGTGTATTGAGTATGGAAGTGGGATGCGGACTTATGCCAATAATAACTGGTGTGCTATCCCATTTGGCGTAGACATTCGCTATCAAGTTGACTGTGGCTATGATGGCCGCTAGAAAAGCACAGAGAAAGAATGACCTGCCAAGGTGGAAGACAAGCATTACAATTAAGTTCAGTTGGATGGTATACTTGCCGCAATAAACTTACTTTTCCCATATGGTAATGCTGTCGTCAGCCAAATATTTCAGACCATGCAAAGTCGACTCCCTTAGAAACTGTTTTACATTGCCACTGCAATAGGATTTAAAGATTTTCTTGGTTCCTTTAGTATTTTTCATTAGTTAGATAAGTAGAACTGCGCGCGCGATGAATTTTGACAGGAAAGTGTATACATTTAACCCCAATACAGTTGTATAAATACTCCGTTATTTAATAAGTGCACAAATATGCTATGCATGCGGTGTGGGAAATTAATTAGGTATCTAAGGGGATGATCCAAAAGTAATTAACACAGCATAACGAATTCGTTTTTAACCTGCGATAAGCGAGTTTTAATTACATAATTCGTTCAAGCACGTAGAAGTAAACGCAATGCTATAGTTATTTTTCTGCTTAAACAATTTCTTGTTCGACTAATTGATTAAAATAGATAGCAACAACATAAAAATTTTTTCGTTCTTCTTGTAATGACTAACACACAATGTTAATGTTGAGAAGCCAAAGCAGAAAATTATATTTTGGTGGCATTAGCAATTGTTTAAGTGCTATGCGTTTTTTATAAATATATTTTTTATTTAATATTTTATCGATAGTTTAATAATTTATTTTTGAGCTATAGGCCGTTTGTTAAATAAAATATTAAATGTTTTTCTGCTTTATTTACTTTCTAGTTTTATTTTGGTCGACCGGACAAAGCTAATAGTTCCTGAAGATGCCTTCAGACTGAAGGCGAAATTTCAACCAAAATAAAACTAAAAAGTAAATAAAGCAGAAAAACATTTAATGTTTTATTTAACATACGGCCTATAGCTCAAAAATAAATTATTAAATTATATTAAACGGTCAATAAGCAACACAATCATTTTATCGATAGTTTATATTTTTTCTGTCGATAGTTTATCGATTTTCCTATTGATAATTTTTAAATTGTTATAGTTTTTCGCTGCTGCTATCGATGTATTAATCGATTTAGTTATCCCTATTTCATTGGCTTACATATCGCACACTGTCTTCAAAAGAGTCACAACTCTAAACAATACAGAAAATGCGAAAAACTATTTCTTAGCACATGATAATCATATGGGCAAGGGCGACTTTACCTTAGGGTTTTTTTTTAACAAATTATAACAAGAACTTTTTTCACAAAACGCATGTTCGCATTTTTTATATGGAAAAAATGGCGAAAGAGCGTCAGTATACAAATTGTCAAAAATCAACGGTAATTTGTAGCTACTTTAAACTTTTCCTTAATTATACCAAAAATTGAATTAATTCGGTAAAAAACGACGAAAAAAGTATTGTGCCTACTCCAGCGTGTGTTAGTGTATATTTAGATAGTACGGTATGCTTAACGGGGTTGGGCAAGTTTCACTAGGCAACTTGAACTCATCCGTCTTGCAATAAATGAGAGATGTCCGATGACGACACATCTGGGCGGGGAGTAGATAGATGACAACATTTAAGGCCTGCCTGGAAAACGTCTGGTTCAGAACAGGGCATGCATGCTGCCGAACCACGCCTTCAACATCCTAGATATAGCCTATGATGATATAGCCACTTTGTGTCAGGTGGCTGAGGCGTGAGAAGGATAAGCGACTATCAAACGTCACTCCCAGGATTTCGGGGTGATTGGTTTTCGGTATTCTGGCGCCATCGACGAAGACATCTAGTTCGAGCCTGATGTTGTTGTTGTTGTTGTTGTTGTTGTAGCGGCTACAACAACCCCGCCCAGGACGGTTGGTATCTCAGTCGTTGTCGTCAAGTTCCACTAACGGCAACCCTAGGAAGCGTGCAGCTTCTGTGGGGTTTGTCCACAGGGACAAGACCGTTAGGGTTGTCGGGTTTTCCGGGCATGCGAAGAGATGTTTCGAGTCATGTGGGGTCTCTCCGCATGCCGGACACTCATTCGGCACATCCTCATTCAACCTACTCAGGTAGGAGTTCAACCTGCTGCAGTAGCCGGAGCGAAGTTGTGCGAGTGTTGTGCGTGTCTCCCGAGGCAGATGAAGCTCCGTCTCGTCTATGTCCGGGGGTGGTAAGCCTAGAACGGCATTCACAGGTCTAGAGTCTACATAACTCGAGACTGAGTCCCTGTGAATGCCGTTCAGGGCCTGTCTGTAAGCTGTCGGGTCCAGAGGTTGCTTAATGAACCTCTGGACTTCATCCGTCAGTTCATATAGATGCCTCCTGACGTGCCTAGGCGAGGGCTCCTCTGCAAGCAGCTGTCTGCTTGGGTGGCCACTTCTGTGGCTCCCGATCAGGAACTGCTTGCAGAGCATTATATTGTGCTCCTTTACAGGGAGCATTTGCGCCTCGCCGTGCAGGTGGTGTTCAGGCGACATCAGGAGGCATCCTGTCGCTATCCTGAGTGCGGTGTTCTGTACAGTCTGTAGCTTCGTCCACTGCGTCCTACTAGTCCCTGGCGACCACACTGGCGCTGCGTAGTTCAAAACCGGCCGGCCTATTGCCTTGTATGTTGCCAGCAACGTTTCTTTGTCTTTGCCCTAAGTACTGCCGGCTAGCGACTTGAGGACCTTGTTGCGGCTCTGTACTTTATTGACAATAGCGGTTGAGTGCGCAGAGAAGGAGAGCAGGCTGTCGAATGTTACTCCGAGTATTTTGGGGTTATTCACCGTCGGAATTGGTGTGTCATCGACGTGAATCCCCAGCGGTAGCCTGACCTCCTTCGTCCAGGTTGTGAACAGGCTCGCGGAGGATTTCGTAGGGGAGACGGCTAGACACTTTGCAGTGAAGAAGCGAGAAAGTTCGGAGAGATACCCGTTTACTTTCGAACACAGGTCATCAATTCCATTCCCAGTCGCCATGATCGAGCATTCGTCGGCATAAGAGACAATCGAGACTCCCTCTGGTGGTTGAGGGAGCTTTGAAATGTAAAAGTTAAACAGTAGCGGGGAAAGGACACCACCCTGAGGAACCCCCTGTTTTATTTTTCGCTGCTTACTCGTTTTGTCTCTAAACATTACCGACGAATGTCGACCACTCAGATAATTTGCCGACCACCGTTTGAGCCTCTGTGGGAGAGAGGAGGCCTCTATATCTTCTAGTAGCGTGGAATGGCAGACGGTGTCAAACGCCTTTGACAAGTCCAACGCTACTAGAATCGTTCTCTCACAGGGACGGTTTCGGTTAAGGCCACGAGTTATCTGAGTGTTTATGGCGTTAAGTGCTGTTGTTGTACTGTGCACTTTACGGAAACCATGCTGATGCTTCGCTGGGGTCAGGTGGTTTGTGAAGTACGGGAGTAGCAAGGCCTCGAGTGTCTTCGCTACCGGGGAAAGGAGTGTTATCGGACGATAGGAATCTCCTTTGTTGGCAGGTTTCCCCGGTTTGAGCAGTGGGACCACTCTCCCCACCTTCCAGATGTCTGGGATGATGAGAGTGGCCATTGACAAGTTGAGGACCTCCGTTAGGTACGCTACCCCCGCAGGACCCAAATTTTTCAGCATCAGCTTGCATATTCCGTCGGGACCCATGGCTTTGGAGGCTTTCGCCTTCCCGATGGCCACCTGAACTTCACCGCAAGTGAAAGCAAAGGGGGCACAAGTTGTTGGCAGTTTGTGCAGCCTTCTCGTCACTCGACGCTTGGCTTTGTCCACCGGAGGATGCAGTATGAACTGCCGGCTAAAATAGCTCGCGCATCGCTCCGGGTCCGACGAGGCATGGTCGCCGAAGGAAATTTCGACTCTGTCGTCGTGCTTCGTCGGATTAGACAATGACCTCACGGTTGACCAAAGCTTACTCACACCAGAGGTGAAATTACAGGTCTTCAGATGCTCCTCCCACTTCTTCCGCTTATGTACGTTTACTAGTTGCCGAATCTCCGCGTTGCGATCCCTTTACGTTCACCGAGATGGACGTCGGTTGGTGTGGGGAGCGCTGTGAAGGTGTTTTCGGTAAACTCCGCGTAACCTTTCCAATCAGCTTTAGAAAAGTTGATATAGGTCCGGTGTTTGGCGGAGGCAAAGTCGGTTGGTTTATCTATCGAGATGACTATGGGTAGGTGGTCTGATGCTAGAGTCAGCATAGGTCGCCATGTTATGCTGTTTATCAGACCAGCGCTGACTATTGTGATGTCTGGCGAGCTACTGCAGTTACCCATAATCCTGGTGGGTGCGTCGTCGTTCATTGTGCAGAATGTCGAATCGTCTATCTGCTCAGCCAAGTCTGTTCCCCTACGATCGTTTGACAGGCTTGAGTGCCAAAGACCGTGGTGCACATTAAAGTCACCTACTACCATACGGTTTTCACCTCTGAGGAGCGCACCTATATCAGGGTGATATCCTGCCGGGCAGCAGGTGACAGGGGGTATGTATATGTTCAATATTTCGAGCTCGACATCGCCTGACCGGATAGCGATGCCCTGACATTCTAGGGTGGTATCCCTGCGGTCGATGTCTGCTTCGATAAGACGATACTGCACGGTGTGGTGCGTGATGAACGCTAAGCCACCACCATTATCTCGCTCGCGGGCACGTTGTACCCGGCGCAATTCAACAAAGTTGAATTGCTGTGCAACTTCGTCTCTTGGACCGCAGTTATCAATATACCATGCCGACACATGAAGACGGTTATCTCCTCAATCTTGCTCTGTAGCCCGTTGCAGTTAAATTGAAGGAGCTTCATGTGGTTCGGGAGACGTGTCGTGATGTGGGGGGTAAGTGAAGTGTATGTTCTTGCCGCCGTTGGCTGTGTGCTGCTGTGGTGATTGCCGCCCTGTGGTGGTGGCGGGGGGCGTCGCAATTGGGGTCTGCGACCGAGCAGCGCAACACGGGCCCTCGAAGTTCACAGTCCAATCTCGCGTGGTACGCAGACCTGAGCATGCCCTAAAGTGGCACCAGCCAAGGCAGGTGTTGCACTTGACTGATGTCACATTACGGAATATCCTGGTCTGACATACCATGCAGATTGTAGGGGGAACCAGGAGTTGTTGGCGGCGGCGTGTGGGTGGTGGTGCGGTTGTGTGTGTTATGTGGTCTGTAGTGGCTGTGGTACGGTCTGTGGTGTTATTATGTTGTTGTGTTGTGGTGACTGTGTGAGGCTGCTGTGTAAGTGTGTGAGGCTGCTCGGGCGGACTGTGGTTAGCCGTGGAGGCTGCTCTGTTTGAGCAACAGGGGGCCACGTACGACGTGGTCCACTGTCTATGTGTCCGTAGTCCCGAGCAGACTCTGAGGTGACTCCATCCCTCGCAGGCATTACACTTGACTGAGGTGGAGTTGTGGTGTAATCGTCCTCGGCATACACAGCAGGTGTAGGTTTCTGGCCCTGGGTTTGACTCGGTGCCAGCCCTGAGTAGGAGAATACGTAGTGAATGTAGCCCTATGGACGGACAACTTCTGAGATACTTCGCGGACCTAAACGGGGTTAGATCGCCGAAACAACAGCCCTTGGTCGGGTAAAACCCGAGTCATTCCGGTACGTAGAACCGGCTGTCGTGGGAATGAGTTCGAGCCTGATCTTCTTGTTCCATGTTGTGAAGGCAGATTTCACGCCGGAAATTTTGAGATTCCTTACAGCGAAGAAGCTCAACATTTCAGTGAGATAACCGGTTATGTTATCGCAAGAGCAATTGACTTTTGGGACCGTGGTCGGTGCTTATGTGG